CAAATGAGAAATATTTGTTGTTGGAAGCTACTTGAATATTGTGTGTGGCTTATTCTAGTATATATGGGATATGATAACTTAGAAATATATTTTGCTGAGAATGGAAAACCCTTGAGCATCTGTAACTGGAGTGAAGTAGTGTGCAGGTATATTTATTACCATGGAAATACTTGATAGGTTCAATAATTACACAGGACATTAATTCTGTCATATCTGGTTTCTTTTCTTGCAGCACCTCAGTTACTTAGTAACTTACTGAATAAAGAATGGTGTAGGGAAGGCAAGGCAGGTGTCTGTGGAATGGTCAGGTGTGGGGCAGCAATGGTCTGGTCCAGGGTCTGGGTGACCGTGCTGAGGGCTGGCCTGACAGCAGAACTGGAGCCCAAGCATTGAGGGGATGTCTGCATGCTGGTGAGAAAGTGTCTGGATTCAGGAGAGAGTCTCCAAGCAGCAGTCTGGTGTGAGACCTCAGAGCCTGAGAGGTAAGGAGGGCAGCTATGCTGTGGAAGGGTCACTTGTAGGGAGTGTGTGCTCCAGCATGGTGAGGAGAGTATGAACTCATTAGGTCACTTCCTGTGGGGAGTCAGACCTGCAAATAGGAGAGAAGAGGGTCCTGATGGAGGAACTGGGTGTTCAAAAGGGTAAGGAGCACACCTGTGTAGAGTGAGGAGGACATCCATGCATGGTGACGACGGTACCCATGCAGGGTGAGTAGGAGGAGGGCACCTGTCCAGAGTGTTGGCTCCATACTGGGTTGGATTCAAAGACACAGAAGGTTGAAACGATCTTCCTTGCAGAGCATAGACCAGATATGGGTAAACAGTGTCTCTATGGTGGACCTCAGTGTGGAACCTTAGTGTCTAGTAGGGTAAGGAGAGCATCCTTGCCTGGTTGTGGATGTCCTGGCATTGGGTGTAGTGGTCAAAGAGGCCAAGGAGAGTGTCTGTGCAGATGGCAGAGCTGGTATGGGTTTCAGAGACTGGCAAGGTAAGGATGCTGAATACCTGGTGGGATAGCTCTGTGTGGCCACTCAGTACCTTCCAGGGAGATGAGGGCTTCTGCACATGGAGGTGACCTAGTGGAGTGTAAAGCCTCAGGGGTAAGTAGAGGTTCCTCAGGGATTAGTACCAGGAGTCAGCACAGAAGACTGATGAAGGAGGCTCTCCTCAGCCATGGTGTGAGAACTTCTGCAAGGTGTCCGGCCCTGAGAGGGAACATCCAGCTAAAGGGAGGAAGGCATCAGTGCAGGGGACACAGGCTTGACCTGAGGGCTGGAGCCCATCCTGGAGAGACAGGCAGCTTAGTGGAGGAC